TTTTTTGAGACAGTCTTGCTCTGTTACCCAGGCTGGAGCGCAGTAACACAATCTCAGCTCACTGTAGCCTCTACCTCCTGGGTTCAAGTGTTTCTCCTACCTCAGCCTCTCAAGTAGCTGGGACTACAGGCGCCTGCCACCATGCCTGGCTAGTTTTTTGTATTTTTAGTAGAGACACGGGGTTCCACCATGTTGGCCAGGCTGGTCTCGAACTCCTGGGCTCAAGCGATCCTCCTGCCTCAGCCTCCCAAAGCACTGAGATTACAGGCATGACCCACCAGGACGAGCCACGTAGGATCAGCTATGAGGGCTGGTCTCAGACATCAGGCTAAGAAAACGCAAAGGCTGCAGAGATTGGGGGAGATGCAATGAGAGCAGTGGAAAGGCCTTAGACCTCAGGCAGCTGGACCCAGAAGGGGACCAGTAGAGGCTGAGCCAGAAACTAAGTGAGGCCTGGGACTCCAGAGCTCCAGCAGCAGCAGGCCACTTCTCCCAGCTGGAAGCAGGGGCTGGGTCAGGATAACCGTCTGTGGGCTCTGTGGCACCTTAGATCCCCTGTGCTGGGACGTGGCCTGGCTGACTGCAGGCTTCCAGCAACCTCCAGCAGGTATGAGGAAGCCATCTCCCTGCATGACCCAGTCTGGGCCCGAGCTGCCCAACCAGTCAGATAAGCCTGGCACTGGGCTGCCCAGGGGCCAGGGAGGGGCATGGGGGAGTGAATGAGAGACCTGGCCCCTGGCTCACTTCATCGGCCACTCGCCCCTGAGCAGCACAGGCCTTTGCCATCTTCTCAGGAAATTGAGGAGTTCCTGAAGCCCTGGCCATATTCATGGTAACCCAACGACTCAGAAAACCACCTTTGGTATCATGGCTGGGATACTGTTATTCATAATGAAAATCGGAGCAAGTGTTGGGCAGGGCGTAGGTGGCTCCCGCCTGTAATCCCAGCACTTTGGGAGGCCAAGGTGAGCAGATCACGAGGTCAGGAGTTCAAGTCCAGCCTGGCCAACATGGTGAAATTCCGTTTCTACTAAAAATAGAAAAATTAGCCAGGCATGATGGTACACACCTGTAATTCCAGCTACTCGGGAGGCTGAGGCAGGAGAACTGCTTGAACCAGGGAAGTAGAGGTTGCAGTGAGCCGAGATGGCGCCACTGCACTCCAGCCTGGGTGACAGAGCAAAACTCCATCTCAGAAAAAAAAAANGATGGATGGATGGATGGATGGATGCATGGGTGGATGCATGGGTGGATGGATAGATGGATGCATGGACAGATGCATGGATGGATGGATGGATGCATTGATGCATGGATGGTTGGATGGTTGCATGGATGGGTGGATGGGTGGATGGGTGGATGAGTGGATGGATGGTTGGATGGATGGATGCATGGATGGATGGATGGATGGATGCATGGATGCATGGATGGATGCATGGGTAGATGCATGGGTGGATGGATGGATGGATGCATGGATGGATGCATGGACAGATGTATGGATGGATGGATGCATTGATGCATGGATGGTTGGATGGATGGGTGTATGGGTGGATGAGTGGATGGATGGATGGATGGATGGATGGATGGGTGGATGAGTGGATGGATAGATGGGTGGATGGATGGATGGGTGGCTGGGTGGATGAGTGGATGGATGGATGGGTGGATGAGTGGATGGATGGATGGATGGATGGGTGGATGGATGGATGGATGGATGGGTGAATGAGTGGATGGATTGGTGGATGGGTGGATGGATGGATGGTTGGATGAATAGGTGGATGAGTGGATGGATGGATGGTTGGATGGGTGGATGGATGGGTGAGTAGATGGGTGGGTGGGTGCATGGGTAGGTGGGTGGATGAATGGATGGGTGTGTGGGTACGTTGTGTTTCAGGTGAGATAGATGAATGGATTGGAGGGATGTTGTATTAGTCTGTTCTCACCTGCCATAAAGACATACCTGAAAATGGGTAATTATAAAGAAAACAGACTTAGTTGGCTCATGGTTCTGGGGGCTACACAGGCATCTGCATCTGGGGAGGCCTCAGGAAACTTAAAATCATGGCAGAAGGCAAAAGAGAAGCGAACACATCACATGGCTGGCAGGAGAGAGAGGGCAAAGGCAAAGGGGGAGATGCTACACACTTTCAAACAACCAGATTTCATAAGAACTCTATCATGAGGTAGCACTAAGGGGATGGTGCTAAACCATTAGAAACCATCCCGATGATCCAGTCACCTCCCTCCAGACCCCACTTCCAACACTGGGGATCGTAATTCAACATGAGATTTGGGTGCAGACACAGAGCTAAATCGTATCAGATGACCAAGTGGATGAATGAGCAGAGGGATGAATGAGCTAGTCATGTTTAGGACAAGATGGATGGACAGAAGGAGGGATGGATGGATGGATAAATAGATAAACAGATGGCCAGGTGGGATGGACAAGCAGATGGGTAGGTGTTTAGGTGGGATGGATGGAACTTTGGAATGGGTTGGGTGACCTGGAAGAATAGATGGGCAGGCCGGGCGCAGTGGCTCACACCTGTAATCTCAGCACTTTGGGAAGCCAAAGTGGGCGGATCACCGGAGGTCAGGAGTTCGAGACCAGCCTGACCAACACAGTGAAACCCTGTCTCTACTAAAAATACAAAAAAGGTGGCTGCGTGTGGGCTAGGCGCAGTAGCTCACACCTGTAATCCCAGCACTTTGGGTGGCTGAGGCGGACGGATCACAAGGTCAGGAGATCAAGACCATCCTGGCCAACATGGTGAAACCCCGACTCTACTAAAATACAAAAAAATTAGCCAGGCGTGGTGGCAAGCGCCTGTAATCCCAGCTACTCGGGAAGCTAAGGCAGGGGAATTGTGTGAACCCGGGCAGCGCAGGTTGCAGTGAGCTGAGATCAGGCCTCTGCATTCCAGCTTGGCAACAGAGCAAGACTCTGTCTAAAAAAAAAAAAAAAAAAAAGGCAGAGAGAGTGAAGTGACTTACACTAGGTTGCTCAGCTGGGCTTTGCAAATGGGTCTTGCTGTGCACCACAAACTCTGCCTGTCTCGGGATGACACAGACGGGACAGTTTGGCTTTGACCTTAGGATTCCACCTGAGCGGGAACATCCGCGAGCCGGGGGGCCCTGGAGAGCCCGAACGCCTCTACCACGTCTCCATCAGCTTTGATCGCTGCAAGATCACCTCCGTGAGCTGCGGCTGTGACAACCGCGACCTCTTCTACTGCGCCCACGTGGTAGCCCTGTCCCTGTACCGCATCCGGCACGCCCGCCAGGTGGAGCTACGGCTGCCCATCTCAGAAACGCTCTCCCAGATGAACCGGGACCAGCTGCAGAAGTTCGTGCAGTACCTCATCAGCGCTCACCACACTGAGGTGCTGCCCACCGCCCAGCGCTTGGCTGATGAGATCCTCCTGCTGGGCTCGGAGATCAATTTGGTGCATGGTAAGGGCACTCCACCCCGGGGGTCCAGTGGGGAGAGGACGCCGCGGCCCACAGCCACGCCACTTGCTGAGTGTCCTGCATGGGTCACTGAATGAGGGGAAGCTGGGTGGGGGCGGAACGGCAGAAAAACCAGCCATAGCCTGCATCATCTGAAGTCACCCACCTAGCAAATGGCAGATCCCAGATATCATTTGGCCACAGAACAGATGAGTAGTTGCAAATCAGCCTACAGGCAAGGGCGGGAGGGGAGAGCCTGCATTAGAGGGCAAGTGGGAGGTCTGGCCCCAGGGCTGGGGGGGGTCGATCTGGAGCAGCCTGGGTGTGGGAGGAAGAGGGCGTGAAGGTAATGTGGGACATTTGTGGGTGTCAGAGGTGTTATGGGTGAGGGGATACACCAGGAGGGGTGGTGAGGACTGGGAGGGTTTGGGGGGCTCTAAGGGGCTTGCATTGTCTATCTCGGATGGGGGAAGATGAGTAGTGGGTGGAGGCATACATGGATGATGGAGGGTGGTGCTGGGTGGGCATGGAAAGTGCTCGTGATTGGCCAGGCACGGTGACTCACACCTGTAATGCGAGCACTTTGGGAGGCCGAGGTAGGCAGATCAGTTGACATCAGGAGTTCGAGACCAGCCAGCCAACATGGCAAAACCCTGTCTCTACTAAAATACAAAAATTAGCCAGCGTGGTGGGGGGGCGCCTGTAGTTCCAGCTACTCAGGAGGCTGAGGTGGGAGAATCGCTTGAACCCAGGAGGTGGAGGTTGCTGTGAATCGAGATCACACCACTGCACTCCAGCCTGGGAGACAAAGTGAGACCCTGTCTCCAAAAAAAAAAAGAAAAAATAACAAGTGTTCACAATCAGGCACTGGGGCAACTGATGGTGTGGAAAAATGAATGGGGTGGGTGAGATTATTTTGTTTTATTTTTTGACACGGAGTCTTCCTCTGTCACCCAAGCTGGAGTGCAGTGGCGCGATCTCGGCTCACTGCAACCTTTGCCTCCTGGGTTCAAGCAATTCTCTTGTCTCAGCCTCCCGAGTAGCTGGGATGACAGACACATGCCATCATGCTGGCTCATTTTTGTAGAGACAGGGTTTCACCATGATGGCCAGGCTGGTCTTGAACTCCTGACCTCAGGTGATCCACCTGCCTCAGCCTCCCAAAGTGCTGGGATTACAGGCGTGAGCCACCAAGCCTGTCCTGGATGGGATATTAAGTATGCCATTAGGTGAGTAGGAATTAGAAGCTGGGTTTGGTGGCTCATGCCTGTATTTCCAGCATTTTGGGAGGCTGAGGAGGGAGGATCACTTGAAACCAGCAGTTCAAGACCAGCCTGGGCAACATAGTGAGACCTCCTCTCTACAAAAAATAAACACAAGGAGCTGGGCGTAGTGGCACATGCCTGTATGTAGTTATCTGGGAAGCTGAGATGGGAGGATCACGAGCCTGGGAGATAAAGGACGCAGTCAGCTATGATCGCTCCACACTCCACTCCAACCTGATGACAGACTGAGACCCTGACTCAAAAAAATAAAAAAGGAAGGCCGGAATTGGTGGTGATGGTGATTGGAGGTGAGGATGGGTGGTTGGTTGGGGAGGCCTTCGACTAGTGAGGTTAAAGTGGACTGAGGGGTGGACAGATGAGGTTAATGAAAGGGCCCATGGGTAACTGGATTGGGAGTGAGTTGATGGACAAATGGAAGGTTCATATGTGAGGATCGGCATGGTGGGTGGGCCGAGTTGGGCACTTTGCGTAGGGTGGATGGATGGATGAATGGGATGATGGGTGTTTTGAGAGGTACATATGAACGGATGGTTTGATGATGAATGGTTGATTTGATGGAAGAATAGAGAGTTAGGGTTAGTTGTTGGGTTGGTGGAGAGTGTACTTGTGTGAGTCGATGGATGAATGGGAGGTGGGTATCATGAGTGGTTAGTTCACTTGGACTGGAAAGTTAAAAGGGGTGAGTGGACACGTGGATCAATAAGGTGAGTACATACATGGGTAGGGGGTGGGAATTATGGGTAGGGTGGATGATGGACTGATGGGGTAGGTGGTTCTGTAAGGGGTATGAGTGTGTGGATGAGCTGATATGGGGGACATGGGCAGGTAGAGAGAGACTGGCATGCCTTGAGTGGGGTGGATGAGTAGGTGGTGCTTCAGGTGATGGATGAGTAAACAGATGGGTGGGTGTTGTTTTGAGTGGGATGGGTAAATGGATGGGTGGATGNGACAGGGTTTCACCATGTTGGCCAGGCTGGTCTCAAACTCCTGACCTCAGGTAATCCGCCTGCCTCAGCCTCCCTAAGTGCTGGGATTACAGGTGTGAGCCACTGCGCCTGGCCCTCTAATCCCAACAGTCGCGTTACGGCTCTGTGCCCCAGTTTGCTTGCCTGTAAGGTGCAAAAGCTATGCACTGCAACTTCTGAGGGCCAAGGTGAAGGGTTAGCAGATCATCACCTGGCACAGAGTGGGCACTGTGGAAGTGTGTGCTGCTGCTGCCGCTGTTGGCAGGAATATTAAGGCTGCCCCTGCCTCCTCAGGGGCCCTGTGGGTTTGCGTCGTCCTGAGCCCCCACTGCAAACCAGAGGAAAGGGCAGGCTGGCTCCAGCTGCTCAGCAGGTGGGACAAGCTCGACGTGTGCCCACTGGAAGAGGGCAACTACTCCTTCGACAGCTCCAGCCTGCAGCCCACGGTGGCCCCCAGCCCAGGTAGGAGAGAAGGGTCTTTACCATGTACCCCCAAAACCATCACCACTAACTATGGCCCCACTTCCCATCATAGTGCTCTTCCCAGGAGAGAGAGGGAATGGGGCAGAGCAATGTGGACCCCAGTCCTTGGCTGTTCTCCCAGGACTAATCCCAACTTGTCCAGCCCAAAGAGAGTGAGTGCTGAGGGCAGGAGCAATGGCAGCCCAAGTGGGCAAGTGAAGTAAAATACTTAAAGCACCTGCAGTCCTGGGCTGGTCTCCTGGCTTGGCCTCTTACTAGCTATGGGAGCAAAGAGGGTGAGAAAGGAAAAAAAGACAGGAGGAATCAAACAGAAGGGGAAAGTGAGATATGGAGGAGGGAGACACAAGTGAAGAGAGGCAGAGTTGGATGGAGAGAGGAAGAGAGGCGGAGAAGACAGGAGGGAAGAGAGAGAGAGATCGAGGAGGGAGGGAAAGAAAAATAGCAAGCACAGGCCGGGCGTCGTGCCTCACACCTGTAATCCCAGCACTTTGGGAGGCAAAGAGGGGCAGATCGCTTGAGGCCAGGAGTGCACGACCAGCCAGAGCAACATGGTGAGACCTCGTCTCTATAAAAAACACAAAAATTAACCATGTGCAGTGGCACGCGCCTGGAGTCCCAGGCAGGAGGCTGAGGTGGGAGAATCGCTTGAGCCTGGGAGGCAGAGGTTGCAGTGAGCAGAGGTCGTACCACTGCACTCCAGACTGGGCGACAGAGCGAGACCCTGTCACAAAAAAAAAGAAGAAAAATAGCAAGTAGGAAGAGAGACAGGCAGTTAGTTGCTCAACCTGAGTGTTTTCCAACCATATGATGGGGCTATAATAGCCCCTAACACATACACACATCCTTTTTTTTTTTTTGAGACAATCTTGCTCTGTCACCCAAGCTGGAGTGCAGTGACGCGATCTTGGCTCACTGCAACCTCCGCCTCCCAGGTTCAGGCGATTCTCATGCCTCAGCCTCCTGAGCAGCTGGGACTACAGGCGTGCACCATCATTCCAGGGTTACTTTTAGTAGATGGGGTGTCACCATGTTGGCCAGGCTGGTCTCAAACTCCTGGCCTCAGGTGATCCTCCCACCTCGGCCTCCCAAAGTGCTGGGATTACAGGTGTGAGCCACCATGCCCAGCCCACGCAGCCATCTTTGAAGGTCTTTGAAGGTATCTTTCAAGGACTGGGGAGATGATATATGCCCATAGCTTTGCCCAGGCCTAACCCCAAGTTGGCACGTGGTGGGGCAAGCTGGCCATGGCTCAACTGCTCTAGGGACCCCCCTCCCCGCCACTGGGCCATGTTGGGTGCCTCTCTACAGGCTCGGAGGAAGAGGAAGTGGTGGCAGCCACAAGTCCCCGCTACACGGTGTTTGGCCGCGCCTTGCTGGCTGGAGAGCTGCACTGGAATGACGCCCACCTGCAGAGGATCCTGGCCAGTGACTCCTACAGCTGCAGCCTTACAGGCAGTGTGGGTGGGGACAAACCAACTTTCGACCCCCAGGGCCGCCCACTCTGGCTGGGAGAACCTTTCCCCACCGCCTGCGCCCGTGTGGACACCCTGCGTGCCCATGGATACCCCCGCCAGGCCCTGCGGCTGGCAAGTGCCGTCGTCAACACGCTCCGACTGCAGCTTCGGCATCAGCTAGAGAGCTACAAGCAGCAGAAGAAAGGTGAGCACGAATACGGTCTGCCTGAGCCGTGCACGGGGACTCGCACCTGTGATCCCAGCTCATTGGGAGGCCGAGGTGGGAGGATCGCTTGAGGCACCAGTTCAGCATCAGCCTGGGCAACATAGTTAGACACTGTCTTTACAAAAACCAAAAAAAAAAAAAAAAAAAAAAATTAGCTGGGTGTCGTGGCTCACACCTGTAGTTCCAGCTACTCTGGAGGCTGAGGCAGGAGGATCACTTGAGCCCAGGAGTTCAAGGCTGCAGTGAGCTATGACTGTGCCACTGCACTCTAACCTGGGTGACAGAGCAAGACCTCGTCTCTTAAAAAATAGTTAATTAGGCTGGATGTGGCGGCTCACGCCTATAATCCCAGCACTTTGGGAGCCTGAGGCGGGTGGATCATGAGGTCAGNAATGGACGCTCTCTCTCCCCAACCCAACTCCAGCCCCAGCCTCAGCTTCCTTTCCTCCGCGCAGGCGCCCCAGACCCCACCGCAGGCGCAGGAATCGAAGACGCCAACTGCTGGCACCTGGACGAGGAGCAGATCCAGGAGCAGGTGAAGCAGCTGCTGTCCAACGGCGGCTACTACGGGGCCAGCCAGCAGCTGCGCTCCATGTTCAGCAAGGTGCTGTGCGGGCCGGTGGGGGGCGTGGGGTGCAGAAGGCCCCGCGGGCGCCCCACCCCTTCCTCACCACCCTGTCCCCGGCGCAGGTGCGGGAGATGCTGCGAATGCGGGACTCCAACGGGGCGCGCATGCTGATCCTCATGACCGAGCAGTTTCTGCAGGACCCGCGCCTGGCCCTATGGCAGCAACAGGGCACGGGCATGACGGACAAGTGCAGGCAGCTCTGGGACGAGCTGGGTGAGGCCTGAACCCCGGTGCGTGGTGGACACTGGGACTTCAGCTCCCATGGGGGCTGGCTCACTCCGAGATTAGGGTCTGTCCCCTGAATCCTCCCTCCGTTCATTTGGCAAACATTTATCAGCGCCTCTAATGTGCCAGCCATGGTACTGGGCACTGGTGGTCCCACAGAGAACGAGACACAGAAATCCTGTTCACATGAAACTGACATCTGACAGGAAGCACAGGCAATCAAATGTCATTGGCCCACGGGCTGATTCACATGTACACACGTTTTCTTTTTCTGAGAGAGGGTCTCACTCTGTTGCCCAGGCTGGAGTGCAGTGGCACGATCTTGGCTCCCTGCAACCTCTGCCTCTTGGGCTCAAAGTGATTCTATACTGCAACCTCCCAAGCAGCTCAGACTACAGGCGCCCACCGCCACATCCCGCTAATTTTTTATTTTTTTCAAGAGATAGGGGCTCACTATATTGCCAAGGCTGGTCTTGAACTCTTGGGCCCAAGCAATCCTCTCGCCCCAGCCTCCCAAAGTGCTAGGGTGACATCCAGCCCACATGTTTTGTTTTTTCTCTTTTCTTTTTGTTTTTTGAGATGGAGTTTTGCTCTTGTTGCCCAGGCTAGAGTGCAATGGCACAATCTCAGCTCACCACAACCTCCACCTCCTGGGTTCAAGCGATTCTCCCACCTCAGCCTCCCAAGTAGCTGGGATTGTAGGCACGCGCCACCACACCCGGCTAATTTTGTATTTTTAGTAGAGACAAGGTTTCTCCAAGTTGATTAGGCTGGTCTTGAACTCCCGACCTCAGGTGATCTGCCTGCCTTGGTCTCCAAAGGTGCTGGGATTACAGGTGTGAGCCACCATGCCTGGCCCCGCCCACATGTTTTCTTTCTTTTCTTTTTTTTAGAGCCGTGATCTTGCTGTGTGCCCAGGCTGAAGTGCAGTGGCACAATCATGGCTCACTGTAACCTCAAATTCTTGAGCTCAAGTGATCCTCTGGCCTTGGCCTCACAAAGTGCTGAGATTACAGATGTGAGCCACTGCACCAAGACATGTGTTTTCTACAACAGCCACAGAGTTAATGTTATTCAGCCCTGCAGGCCATTTGGTCTCTGTCATGATGACCTAACTCTGTTCATTATAGTAGAAAAAGCAGCCACAGACATATATACCAAATGGGCACGGTGGGATTCCAATAAAACTTTATTTAATACCTGGGAGGCCAGGCGCAGTGGCTCACAATTGTAATCCCAGCACTTTGAGGGGCTGAGTTAGGGGGATCACTTGGGCCCCGGAGGTCGAGGCTGCAGTGAGCCATGATGGCCACTGCATTCCAGCCCGGGAAACACAGCAAGACCGTGTCTCAACAAACAACAAAAAAAGGTGCTTGGCACCGTGCCGGGCACCTGTACTACCAACTACTTGGAAGGCTGAGGCAGGAGGATCGCTTGAGCCCAAGAGTTCGCGTCCAGCTTGGACAACATAGTGAGACCCTGTCTCAAAATTTTTTTAAACCCTGCTTATTTGTGGATACTTATGTATTTATTTGAATTTTACATTATTTCTGCAAGTTGCAAAATATTCTTTTGGTTTTATTTCCCGACTATTTAAAAATGGAAAAACAGGCCGGGCACAGTGGCTCACACCTGTAATCCCAGCACTCTGAGAGGCCGAGG